TTTTGAAAAAGTGACATTTTTGTAAAGTGGCACTTGAAAAGTAGCATTTTTTAAAAATTTTTTTTTTTTTCAAAGACATGTCATCATTTTGAGCCAATCAAATTATAACATCTAAGAAGATTAAATAATAGTACTTGCCTTTTAATAGAAAGGGGATTTGAGAGTGATTTGTGAGAAGATACTCCTTTATATATTCATGTGTCACGTAACTCTATAACAAGTTGTCGTGCCATGATAAATGTTTATCCTGTCAGGTTGAATTTGTTCACCATGTGTCGACTTCCTCTCATCGTGTATGTTTGTATCGAAATTTCTTTTTTATTTTCGTATCTATATACTTGTGATTCACTTTTTAAAACTCTTATANAATCAATCGTTTATTTTATTTTCTTAGGTTACACAGATGGTTTGATGTATTTCTTACATTTGACTCATCTACATTATTTCGTATTTTGTAGTATTATCTTTGTTAAAGGGTTGTTGCTATCGTATCTTTTTAATATTGTTTCATTAGTAGTCTTTTTAATTTTAAATTTATCTTACATGTTTCATTATATTCCAGCCCTCTCTTCGCCTATTGTTTTTAATCTGCTCACAAGATTATGGATTCTTCTGAACTCATTTATGATTTTAGATAAACATGTAATTTTCTTAGCTATACTTTATTTTATAGATTGTTGTATTATAAAATTCATTGCATAGCAATACATGGGCTTACATAATATATGTTTTTGTATTTTCATCTATATGTGTCTTTCGTCTGGTACTACACATCCTTATTCTATAGTTAGTCGTGCTCGACCACACTATCTGATTCGAAAACCTCCAAGGTTAATATTCTTAAAATAAGTATATTATATTTATTTATCTTCGATTGTTTGATTTCCTTTTGTTTGTAGAGTGGAGACCTCCAAGGTATGTCATAGTTTCTCATAATCCCGTCTCCTTATTAGAAGGTTCCTCATATTTTTATTGTTAATTTCTCATATAATATTACATGTCTTGACCAGTGAACGTGGTTATGCTTCTTGCATCATTAACAAACAAGTCTAGATCGAGATACGATTAGTTTATTTTATCTCCTTCTAATACGGTACTTCCGAAATCAAAACTTTCCTATTTTTAAATTTGATTTTCTGATTTCTTTCTACTGATTTTCGTCTTTTCGTTCTGTTTTTTGCTTAATCAAATCCAAATTTGGTTTATCTTGTCTTTTTTTTTTGTTGCGTTTTGAGTTTTATGAGTATTTTTGACTGATCTTGGTTAATTATTCTTTCTCTATAGGGCGAGTTTGAAGATTGAAATTTGGTTACGAGAATATAATTTTGTGTTTATATTTTTTTTTGTATCATTTGTTGATCAATATATGGTTTAGGTTGTTGATTCCTTTTGTTGATCAATACCAATGTTTTTTTGTTTGATTTGTTATTTGTCACAAGATTAAAAGTGCATGCTTACAAAATTTCTACTTCGATAAATTCTTCACTAATAAATGTGATTTTTAAATGTACGGACTGTTTTAGAAAAGTTTGGTTTTGTTCCTCTTGATTTACATGGTACTCTTATGGTTTGTTTGTACAGAAATCCATGCAGTCTTGAATATGTTTTGTAGGTAATCATGTATTATTCAATTATTTGATTGTCCCTTCTAATTTGAAACATCTCTATGGCAGTTCTACGTTTTCGATTGGTGTAGGAGTAGAGAAGAAGATGAGAAGAGGTATCGCGGTTTTCGATCAATTGCTCGAGAAGATCATATCTCTAAAAGAGAGGAGGTAAAATATCATGGGACTCATCATGACTCAAAAGGAGAGGCCATGAATGTATTAACATATTACATGATGTGGACACGACCAAATATAAGCACTTGAAACCGAACAACGATAAATTTATCATGAACGTTGTTTTGCGCTTCTTGATCGCAGGAAGAGACACAATAATCTCAGCTCTCACTTGGTTCTTCTGGCTTCTCTCCAAACATCCTGAAGCAACAACCAAGATCCGACAAGAGATTAACAAGAAGATGCCAAAGTTTGATCCCGTGGATCTAAACAGTCTCGTGTATCTAGACGGTGTCGTGTGTGAGACGCTAAGGCTATACCCATCAGTCTCATTTAACCACAAGTCACCGGCAAAGCCTGACGTGTTTCCAAGTGGGCATAAAGTCGACGAGAGTTGGAAGATAATAATCTCTATTTAGCCAGCGGGGAGGATGAGATCTGTTTGGGGAGATGACGCAGAAGATTTCAGACAGTGAAAAGTTGAGACATGAGCCTTCGTATTAGTTCTTGGCGTTTAACACTGGTCCAAGAATTTGCTTGTGGAAAAAGTTAACTTTCTTGCAGATGAAGACAGTGACCGTGGAAATCATACGAAACTATGAACATCATGGTTATTCAAGGGCACAAAACCGAACCAACTCCTTCCGTGGTTCTTCGCATGCAACATGATCTCAAAGTTAATGTCACTAAGATTTGATTTTAATTTATTTGGTTTTTTAAATAGTTGTTNAGAGTTCAATAAAAGGTCAATGTGTCATGTGTGNATTGGCATTTTATAGTGCATGCATGTATATCTTTTGAGTTAGATATTTTCGAAATAGACAATTGAAGGATACTATGTTTTCGAAGTAGACAATTAAACACAAAATATCATATAGTTTCTGCAAATCATCCTCTCAAGGATACGATGTTTTCGAAATAGACAATTGACCGATTTCAATATTATAGCCATTGAGTACAGAATGAGACCAAAATAAACGTGATTACATCCGCGTAAATTTCGAAATGGCACCCAACTGGTAGGATCAAAATGTAAGTTGGGCCGCGTTACATAATTGGCGTCAAAATAATCAATCTAAAGAGAGAGAATATATGTCGGATCTGATGGGATCATAAGCTAAAAAAGAAGGTAAATTTTAAAGTTCGTGGACATTTTCTAATTGGTTGTGTTTTCTTTATTGTGTTTTTATTTTC